CTGGGATATAGTATCATTCTTTCTGACATTGCTAAGTATTTTTAGTCACACTAGTTATAATGACTTAAGCTTTATTTTATATTTAATTAATTAATTACAAATTATTTATTATTACATAGTTTCAAATTCAATATTGAAATCGCAAATATGATGAAGCAAAACAAATGCTCTTTATTTAAAATTCCTTTAAATTATAAATAAACCAAATGATTTCTACATTATTGTAATGCTTTATAAATTGTCATAACCAAGTGACATATTTTTTTTTGTGAACACTTTCTAATGTTAATTTCAAATTTTTCATATGGTTCATTATTTTGACAAAAAAATCCTTTTATATTGATCACTTTACTGTGTGATTACTGAGGAAACTTCTTTTAAGAAGTTTCTAAAAGTTTATTATGCACGATTATAAATCATAAATCATATTATTTTATAGTCAGTTTTTAAGAACTATTACTTAATATTAATTTATATTTAATTAAAAATCGGAAATTCATTAAAATGATATTTTTCTAAAAAATAAAGTAAACGAAAGTTTAAAAGCAATGATGATATTATAATTATTTTATTGTTCTTATGTATTTTAAGAAGATCTAACTTCATTTATATGAAAAAAAATAAAAAAAATTAAATTTCAGAATTGGAAATAGTAAGACACATAATTAGCCTCTATGGTAAACCATATTATATTCAATTAATTATTTATGATATATTTAAGAAATTTTCGCGTTTTTTTTTGTTAATTATAATTACAAAATATCATAAATATTATAAAAAATACCACAAATCGCACAAAATCAATAAAAATTAAATCATAACATCACACATAAAACTTACTTTCATTGAAAAAGAAGCTGTCTGTTGTTAAACTTTATCTGTACGTCGATAAGTTAACAATTTAAATTTGCTAATAGGAAGTTTAATTACGTTTAAATAATGAAAGAAATATACACAAGTTTAATTTATTAATATTTATTATTTAAAGATAATTAGTTAATTCTTAGTTTATTTACAAATTTCTATCTCAAGTTAATCTTCAACTCAAGGACAAATACATACTATTTATATAAAATAAACTAATAATAATATAATAAGATAAATATGTATGATATAATAAATGATAAATATAATAAATAATATATAATTAATAAATATAACAAATAACAAATATAACACTGTTATCAAATCACCTCTCGACGTATTTTCAGTGGTATTCTTTAATACTATAAGAACATATACTTTATTTTATTGTAGAGAAATAAAATAACTGGGTTTCATTTTATTATTTGGTAATATGAAATGTGTATAGAAAAAAGTAGATTATATTTAACGTTAAACTCATATATCTGGATTTTACCAAGTCATACAGATAATAATTCTAGAATGAATGAACTTCATAAACTAAATCAAAATGTCATGAAATTTAATCATCACTATTAAATCACTATACTTCTTCATTTTCACAAAAGGTTGAACTTCATTAACCAACTTTTCCAAATTTTTAAACTTTGTATTTTCAAGATCGTCTTGTTGAATAAGTTGATCGAGTTTGTAAGCAAAATATTTCACCTTTTTTCTCTCTACAAATTCTTTTAAAATGCTAAAAGTCTTATCAATAAGAATTTTAGAGTTGTTTTAATTAATAATTTTTTCAATCAAACGTGTCGAAAATTATTCAAAAAGACTTTTAATTTATTTGTGTGAAACATGAAATTTAAATTTAAATATTTTAGAGAATCTGATAACATTTGACCCAGAACTTTTAAAATCAGTGAATCAATTCTTTAAAAGTCACAGTATTTAATATTTCTTTGCAAGCCTCAGTATATAATATAATTTTCAATAGAAAGGTATCTAAGACTTTTACTAAAATGCATAATCAACTCATTTAATTTATTGAAATTAATTTGATGAATGTTATATAAGTATAAAAATTTGATATTATCACAATATCTTATAATACTTGCAAAAGTATTATTATTATCATAATCATTAATTAGAAATAATTCTAAATATTCTAAATGTGAACCAATTTTTCGAAGTAATAAATTAAGATCTGGGAATTAATCAACTACTTTTAATGATTTGATTTTTAATGGGATGGTAATGTCTAATAATGGTCAAAGGAATGGAGGTGTAATGCCTTTCCAATTATTGAAATGAAGTGATTTAAGTTGTGTGAGATTTTTAAGTGCATCATATTCACCAAGATTTGCAAAATTACAATTATCAAACTTAATTAAAGTTAAAGTATTAAAGTAGCACTTAAAAGAATCTAGCAAAACAATGCTGTACATTCCGTAAAGCGAAAGAGATAATAGTTGTGCTTGCGATTGAATGAGGTTTCTTATAAATAAGTTGATTGTATTATTTGTATTAGCACAAATACTAAAATGCTTAATAAAAGGTATTAATGATGGTAAAGTTGCTAAAAATCTTATAGGAAATGTTTGTCTCTTCTCTAACCATAGGTTAAGTTTTTCAACATTCGATATAAAATTTTCATTATTTAACATCATATTATAATTTTCTGATGTTAAAAAAATAACTGAAGAATTTTTGAAAAATAAAGAAAATTTTTTTAAAGAAACATTCTATTCATAAATAATTTGAATAATAAACTATAAATTAATTTATTTTTTGATCTGCTTGGATGTAACTTTAATACTGGAAATGTCGAGTATCTAGCTTTAATACCTTCTTGCATTGAATTAAAAGTAAATTCATGAGAGTTTGATTTACTAAAATCATATATCAAATTATTAGTGTGCAATTCCAGTCGAAGTATACTTAAGGTATTAATAAAATTGGGATAATTAAATAAAAGCTTTATAAATAGAGACGGATTGATTTTAATTTCAATGTCTAATAAACTTGTTTTATTTTCATCATTTAAATATGAAAAATAGATATCAAAAAAATTATAATGATGTTTTTTTTGACATTTAACTGAAAATAAATTTTCCCAAAGTATAGGAATCGTTATTCGATAAAAAAGTCGATTGACTAAAATGCATGAATGAAGTGTTTCTAAATCTTTTCGTAAATATTGGATAATTAGAATTGTCAGTTCTGATACATTTCCAATTGGACTTGCCACCATGGAGAGAAAGAATTAAAAAATTCTATAATAAATGGACTTAATGTCAATAAATACAAATTTGATCAAAGAATGAGTTGTGCGAGTCACAAAAATATTACATAAACCTTTATATAGTAACAGGGCTGAAAGTCAATTCCAGTTATGAGTATATAAAATTGATCAACCATTCTTTGCGGCAGACAGATTTTTTAAGATCTACACAGAACTTTGGGAGAATTTGAATGGACTAGAAGTAAAAAAAGAGAATGTTGAGTAAGTTAGAAATTCAAACCCATCCATGGTTTCGATACATCTTAAATTTTTTAAAAAAAATTTACTTAGGAATTCTTATGTAGCAATTTTATCTTTGTTAAAATTTATTGATATACGAGGCAACTACTTTTTTTTAAAAAATTAATTTACTGAACAAAATCGTTTAATAAAAAAATATTTGAAAGTTTTTTTAAAATAATTGCTAATATATAAAAAAAAATTTTCAATTTAGCAAATTTTTAATAAAAATTGAAAGAATTGTTCATGATGTTTTACTGTATATATTTTATTATTTTATTTATATATACAAAAATGTTTTTAATGATAACGATATTTACGAAATCTAAAAGAAATTTTCTGCAATAATTACATTAATTAAATCATCAATTTTAATTGAAACATCTCTGAATCTGTCTGTTTAGAATACATGATTCATGATCCAGCTTCTTTAAACAATAATATTATTAATATTAATTATATTAGTATACATTGCCCAATTAATAATTAAAATTGCAAAGTAATAATCATATTGGTGGTATGCTATTAAAATTGAGATACAAGACATAATAAATCATATGATACGTACCTCAATTTTAACAGCTCACCACCCATATATTTGAAATTTATTTATATATTATTAACAATTCAGTTTATGAAATCAGAAAATTATCAAAATAATTAATTCATAGAAAACCATCCTATACAGTTTGTTAGAAACCAAAATTTTGACGCTCTCTTTTTAAACAAACATATCGCGTAATAATAGTCCATTATCCATCAATAATAATATAATTCATGAAGTGAGAATACCTTTTCCAGCCACTTTGTTGTTTATTTTCATTTCAACATTCTCCAAATGCAATTTTAAGACCATATCCTGATGGTTGAATTTTTCTTATTGGACTTAAATTGCGGTCTTGAGTCTACTCCTTTATTAACTCTATTGCAATTGGATAAATAATTAAATCGATTGTGAATAATATAGCATTCATTATATGCCAAATTTATAATGATAAAGATTAAGATGATTATCAAATTAAACAATACCGAGGTGTTTGAGGCAAGTCTCAGTAATTACGAGTTTTTTTGTTCTATTAAAATAGCCTCATCATGCAACAACAAAAATAGTGAGGCAACAGTTGACTAAATCTTGCTTCTACATTTGAGAAAGATAAGACCTTAAAGAAGAATCTTTTCTGATTACTTTTCTGTATTATATTATTGAAGTTAAAAAATAAATTTATTAATAATAGTAAAGGACAAAAATATAAGAGATGAATGGAGATCTAAAAAATTCATATTTCCGCGAAATATTTTTGAAAAAAAAACACTTATAATAGAGTAGTCAAATAAATTAAAATGATATGACTTAAGTATCTTTCTCTTTGTATACTTGTTGTAAATTTAATTCAAAAATATTCTTCCATTATATCAAATGCATAACGATCTATGAATTTCGTCATTGTTATAATGATTAATTTTACACGTCACATATTGATATTATTAAAAGTTTGCTATTGTTTGCCTAAAAGAAGATGAAATCATATGATAAAAATATTACATGTTATATAACTTTGTTTAGGCTTATATATATAATGTTGTATTCATTTGATCAGCAAAATCTTTACTTAAACTTTTAAACATGTTCGCTATAGAATACAAAACTACTTCTTTTTTCTCTTTAAGTTCTCATCGAAGTTCCACAACTACCTTATCAGATGCATGTTTGGCAGATAAATTAGCGCTTATAGAATGTATCGAAATCATCAAAGCTAATGTTGAAGATCTTATTATTAACAAGACTAATGAAAAAGAGAAAAAATGGTGGATCGATAGAAATTACAAAACTATTGACGAAAAAAAGTAAGGCTCAACATTACTTAAATTTTGTTTATACATTTCATTATAAAAGTTTGGTCTATTTTTTAGACTCTCCCTGATCCATATGGAAGATGTAAATTATGATGAGTTTGAAAAAAATGTGAGAAAGCGAACACATCGAAGTTCTGGGAGTATCGAGATGAAATAGTAATAATAATCAAGCTACCAATAAGGAATCATGAGATTGTAAATGGAGAATTCACTGATCAATTTAAAGAAGCTTTTTATAATCTTTCACGTCAAGATCGAGTTAGAAATATTGGAACAACAAGTGTGTATTCTCTCAGTATTTGTGTTATACTTTTATACTATTATATTGAACCAACTCTTTTATATTCAGCTTATTATACTTCAGGACGTAAATTACGCAAAGGAAGTAAGTAACAGTCAGATGTTTCTTTTGTACTAAAAGGTCTGCTTAATCTGGCTTAATATCCAAGTGATTCTGAGGTATTTCTTTCTGAACTTGGACTTTAGTGAAATACAAATAATATTGATCAAATCATATTGATTGTAAGGCAATTCTTGGCCAACTATTATTTATGAGACTGCTAATACCCAAAGTCTTCAAAGTATTATCCAAAAACCACCCAATTTTGATTGGCCTCACATCAGGTAGAAGACATTATTGTATTAAATTGTGGTCTTGGAACTCAATAAGTGATCAAAATAAAACACCTTTACGCAGGCTTACAGTTCAGCATTACTTGGTGTTTGATTTATATTTATTTCATTTCCCTAATATTTGTCTTGTACTTTTGATAGTGTTATAAATTCTGTTTTTGAACAAGCCTTAGGGATGCACATGGGAATTTTCAACCAGTTCATGTGATAAGAACTAGTGTATTTTTTGTGTTGAGTTAATTCCATTTTATTTGATTCGCAATATATCTTTATCTTACAAATTGAATTCGGAACAATTGATTTAAAAAATCAGCCATTTAATGAATGTTTTACTCTGGGAAGACGCACGTTGAGTATTTCATTAGATTGCATTTATAAGGGTTGTGATCGTCAAAATCCACCACTCTTGCTATTCTCTCTTACAAATGATGTAGTTATTAATTTATTTTAAATTCAGCAGGAAATATTTGCAGTTATGAAAAAAAGTTAATATATTACACGTACTTGTTTCTTTTTCATAAATACTTGTTTTATAATACATATTTTATAAGAAATGTTAATTTAGAATTACCATAGTGATATTATTTTCTTACTTAAAAAAAGCTTTAAATTGAGTATTATTTCATGAAATAAAATATTTTAAAGTATATAAAAAAGTTGGTGTGATTAAAAGTTTATTTAGGTGAAGTTTTATATTATAACCTTCCTACTTAAATTTCATTATTTATAACAAGGGAAATTTGTATTCTCTTCACTTAATCTAAATTCTAAATCATTAATGGTCATCATCATCGTTAGGGGAAAAATATTTTTATGATAGTTTTACTCCCAGAGATTAAGAGAAATTGCCGAATATATGGTCATTACTATTAAAATCAGGTTACAAGGCATAGTAAATAATATGATTTGAACTTGAATTTTAATAGCAAACCTTCTATATCTTATATAAGTTGAGAATTGTTTTTTTGTAATGTTATATATAAGGTTAGTCATCTTAATTAAGTAATTAAAACAATGAAATGTCAGATTATCTAGTTTAGATATTAAAGATTGTATTTCTTAAAGAGACTAAAAGAAATTGACATTTGAATTTTAAACATATTGACTAAGATACAAAAAAGTATTTGTGGATGCTATTAAAATTGAATATAGGGAAAACTAGTTCAGCTGATCAGTACGGTTATGATCATCATATGATCGTACTGTACTAGCTTTATAATATTAATAAGACCAGTATGGTACAGTACGATCATAAGTTATGAAAAAATATCGTATGTACCGTACAGTACTGGTTCTATGATCTATAATATCTATTAAATGACTAGTACAGTACAGTATGATACTTTTTCAAAATTCAGAATCGTATCGTACCATAATGGTTGGTTTTCCTTTCCCTCTCAAACTATATATAAATATTAATTCCCTGTCGCACTAAGTGTCACTCATGATTATCTTCATCCTAATTTTTCACATGTGATTACTTATTTCCCGATCTCATATAGACAGCCGGTAAATCACTAATTTTATAAGAATTATTTAAAATATAATAACTACTTAATAATTTGTATTAAAACTAAATGACATGCTTTATTTGAAATTTTATTTGTTTAATATTTGACTAATATTTTC